CGTGACATGTCCTTTTCTCTTTTTTTCTTTTTTTCTTTTTCTTTTTCGTTTTCTTCTCATTCTTCTTTTTTCCCTTTCCTCTGCACGGGTCACAGAGGAAGGGGAAAAAAGAGAAGAAAAAAAGAAAAAGGAAAAAAATTAAATGGGTCCTATTTGTCAGTCAAAATAATGTCACGTCGTGTCCGTGTGGCATGCCACGTCAACGCCACGTAGGATCCTGAAGGGGTTGTGACGATTTGGGACCTAGATGACACGCTATGACAAGTTCTAGGTCTTGATATGCATTTTAAAAGTTTAGGGACCTAAATGACACACCTCTACAAGTTTAAGGACCGTCCGTACACTTTACTCAAATTTTGTCTAGCAATTCTTTTCTTGCATCCGCAAAATCTCAAAGTGATCTAATAGCCTAAAATGGGGGGAAAAAGTTGGGGGAAGTTTCGTAGCAATTCTATTCGCGAAATTTTAAGCCAAGGAAAGAACCCTGCTCATGAGTATGTGTTTCCACTTGCTAGAAAATAAGCCGTGCAAATTGATTGCAGGGACGGAAACGTGAAATTTAAACTCGACCCGAAACAAAAAATTGAAATCATTGGCAAACACTAGGCTAAATATTTGTTCAGCAGTGCCGCTGCCGCATACCCGTGCGTGCATAATTAGTGGCAACCGCTACCTGGCTCACTTGAGCTGACGGCGTTGACAGCCAGCGTTGCGAATGGGAGCACAGCAGCAGCGACGCAAAGATGAGCACATAGAGAAGCAACGTTGGCGACAGACACCATGGCCGGCGACGCCCTCCTCTGGTCATTACGGTCCATCCGGCCCGTCATCAGTAGCCTCCATCCAAGGTCCGACATTACGGCCGCGGCACTGAGCGCAACGAAGCCGCGCGTCGAGATGCCAACCGGCGTGTTACTGAAGGTCGGCACCGCGACGGCCAGGAACCCTGTGAACGTGACCTTGGTCAGCTCCAGCGACGCCGCCGGCTTAATCTCTCCGACGCCGTCGCCGACTATAGCTCTGTACATCCATGTCACGAACGACAGGATTAGCGGGACGAACACCAGCCACGCCTGCTCCCTCAGCGGCGCGGCCGTGATGAGGACGACGACCACGGCGAAGGCGACGGACAACGTGGCGTTCAGTAACTCGGCGAAGTAGCACACCTTGGCTGATCTGTCGCCTTGGTCGTCGGTGCTCGCCATCGCCGGATCAGGCACCGTCCCCACCAGCATGACGAACACGCCGAGCACGCAGGTGAGGTACGTGACGCCGAGGGAGGCGGTGAACAGGCGCTCCATCCCGCGGCACGCGGCGCTGCTCTGCCCCTCTAACGCCAGCCCTTCCAGCCCCAGGAACAGAAGCGTCGTGACAGCGGCCGAGAAATTCACGGAGTCCTCGAGCGTGGCCGCGGCGTCGCCTCCTCCTGCCGCGTGGTCGTCTCCGCCGTCACGCGCGCCTCGGTAGCAGCGGAACAGAGTGAGAGGCACCAGCGGCGCAAGAACCAGGCCGGCGAGGCAGTACATGTGCCTGTCCATGTCGATGAGGAGGAGGATGACGAAGGCCAGCGCCATCAGGAGAAGGGCGCAGAGGTGGACGAGGAGCTTGGAGGCGCGGAGCAGGAGGCCGTGGGACGCCGGTAGGCTATCGTTGATGCCGAGGAAGAGGACGGCCAGCAAGCCGGCTTCGAGAGTGATGGCGGCGAGAGGGGAGATGCCGCCTCCGACAAGCGATCCGTTCCCGTTGCTCTTCAGGTCGGCTTTCTTGAGCGAGACGGCGAGAAGAACCGGGCACACCATTAGCACGACGCCTTCTGTGAAAGCTTGTACTCGCTTCCTCATGGTGTCCATGATCAACTCGTGAGTCCAGACGTGACAAACTGACAATACTGTTGGGTAAAACTGAACGTATACACACATGCTGATGGATTTAGCCAATCGAATTCGCGATTCTGGTAGCTCTGTTCGTTCCCCAGGGTTCCCAACTCCCAACCCTCATTTTCCGCTTGCACGCTTTTCAAAAGTACTAAACGGTGTATTTTATGATTAATATAATTTTTTAAAGTAACTTTCCTATAGATATTTGTTGAAAAAAACACACCGTTTAGTAGTAGTGATCTTGATGTATATGTTGAAAGTAGAGTGACTTACCTAACACGTCTAAACAAGTTAAGGGAAGCTCCATACATTTTACTCATTACACTACTAGAAAAAAGGTATTCACAGGCGGACTAAATAAGTGTTTTTTGCAGGTGGACCAGCTGTCCGCCTGCAAATGAGCATCTACGAAAAAAATAGTTGATTTTCACAGGCGGACAACTGGTCCACGTGCGAAAAGAGCTCCGAGCATTAAAAAAAATTGGCAGCAACCGCCCACGGCAGCAGCAGCTTACCGTTCTCGGTTCTCCATCCAGTTCCTATTCCCCAATCCAATCCCATTTCCATTCTCCATCAATCCATATCAAATTCACAAAAGCATCACAAACTAACATATAAGCATCATAGTTCCAACTGGTCCGCTTGAGAAAAGAGCTCTGAGCATTAAAAAAATTGGCAGCCACCACCCACAGCAGCAGCAGCAGCTTCCCGTTATCTGTGCTCCATCCAGTTCCTATTCCCCAATCCAATCCAGTTTCCATTCTCCATCAATCCATATCAAATTCACAAAAGCATCACAAATTAACATAGAAGTATCATAGTTCACAATCAAAACAAACGCATCGCCAATTAACATTCAAAATCAAAACAAACGCCACCGCCCTTCACGCCATCGGATCTGGGAGGAGGGAGGGGAGACGTACGCCGCCGCCTCCACCATCCTCGCTGGTAGCCGCCACAGCGACCGCCCTCCGCATCGCCGGATCTGGGAGGAGGGAGGGGAGAAGACCCTACCTCCACCCTCCTCGCCATGACTGCCCTCTGCATCCGCCGCTGCCGTCGCACGGACGCGCCACTGGCCTCCCCCCTCCCTCCTCCCCCCTCTAGCCAGATCTGGGAGGGAGGGAGGAGAGGAGCCGCCACCGTTCGCCCCGCGACACCGGCCACTGGCCTCCCCCCTCCCCCCTCCGGCCAGATCTTGGAGGGATGGAGGGAGGGGAGCCGCCACTGTTCGCCCTGCTGCGCCCCGCCGGCGTCCACCCCACGCCGCTGGCCACCAGCCTCCCCCTCCCCACTCCGGGCAGATCTGGCAGGGAGGGAGCGAGGGGAGCCACCGCCGGGGAGAGGAGGAGAGATGAGGGGAGGAAGGGGGGAGAGGAGAGGAGAGGTGGAGGGGAGGAACGGGAGAGGAGGAGAGGTGAGGAAGAAATAGGACATAGAAAAAATCGTTGTAGCCTCTATTTATATTCCACGCTAATTTTCGCAGGTGGACCACACAAGAGGTCTATCTGCAAAAATAAAGGGTATTTTAGTAGGCAGACCGGTTAAGTGGACAGTGAGTTTCACCCCGGTTTATATTTTTATAGGCGGTTATTTGGCTTCAAGGGTCATGTCCGTCTGAAAAAAACCACGTCTGTAAAAATGCTTTTTCTAGTAGTGTTAGTTAATTATTGTGGTTACTTTTGCGAATCAAACTACGCACTGGCACACTGGTTAATTCCTTACGATCAACAATTGAAGTATGAAATTCGGTTCCTTGTTGACCATTCATTGCTGTCAAGACTTTTAAAGAGTAATTAAACATGCTGTCAATATAGAACACAGACAAAGTCAAGTAGGAAATTTACTAAACGCTGTTCGTTCGTCTGGCACATCAACCTAATGTATAGTAAACCAAAGCTATATATAGAGACGTTCTAGTACGTATATATATATGCGCATTTCAGTGTCCTGACGAAGACAAATTCAAATACTGATGGCTCAGGATTAATAACCTACGGACGAATTACTATCATAGCGAAAACTAATGCTGCTACGTAAGTACAATATTTTGCATCAATCATCTCAAGGAAATATTTCATTTTAGACCCTCAAACTATTGTATTGGAACACTTAACCCCCTAAAGAATTTGTTAGGTCCTTTGTGAAGCAATACATATTGTCAATGGATTATTTAATTAATTTTTGATAACTTTTTAAATGTAATGAAAAATGAGGGAACAACTCTCGAGGGAAAAAAACACCTCCGATTGTTTCGATAAATATTGAATGCTACTCTTTTGGGACTAAGGGAGTAGGAGTTAAGAAACGGGAGTGAATTCTAAACTTTTGTGGGGACATCCCCTCGTTTGTATGTCACACAATAAAATTGAAAAACTATGGCTAGTTAAAATATATTCACAGTTAAATTTGTTTTTTTGTCGTAACTTGTAGAAGTTAAATTTGAGCTTGCATGTTTGTGAAGTGATGTATCACATATTAATCTATCTTGTTGATTTTTTTTTTAATTTTGTTATAACCATTTGGATGGTGTGCAAAGAACGGGGAATGTTCTCTCCAGAGTTTAGAATAGTTTCATGTTAAGTAACCTTTGCTTGGCAACATATCCTATACACACAGGCCCTCACGTGTACACACGTGCACACCAACTAAAAAATGTCAAAAAAAATCTAGAAAAAATTATACACATACTTTCAATTGTATTACACCTAGGGTTAAAATCTTAACGTCAAATTCATTATATTTTAGCCGTAACAAAAAAACAAAAAATCTGACAGTTTTAAGGTTGCAGTTTTGTCAGAATTTTATCTTTTTTGTTATTCTCTATGTAGAATGAATTTGAAGATGCGACTTTGCACGTAGATGTAATAGTATTGAAAGTACATGTATGAATTTTCTTAGAATTTTTTGTGATAATTTTTAGTTGGTGTACACGATGTGTACACGCGAGGGTCTGTGTGCATAGAATACGCTCCCCCATTGCTTATGTTAAAGAAACAATGTGGCCGAATATATATGTTTAGTGGGTTAGGTGTGACCGTGTGATCATGTGGATATACATGCATGCAACATACGTCAGAAAAACGAGGTGGTTCGAAGGAAAGAGCCGATTTCACTGGTAGTACTGTGGTTACGGAGGTTGATGAGATAGAAAGGCGCCCATTTCATAGTCAAGGGTTGAGTTTTAGTTTTGTGGTAGCTCAGGGTGTTGAACTGTAGATATGATTTGTTCCTGTTGCAAACTACTTCGTAAGTGTCTATGTCCAGAATGACATGTCAATGTAAAGCATCAGGAAGGGAAAGCCAAGGCAAGCCATGAGCGGACAAAAAACTGTACCTCTGATGATAGACTAGGTAGGATCAAATAAAATTCCCCTCACCCTCAGATTGACTCTCGATTGAATCTCTAGTTGTATCAATTTCGTGTCGCTGAAGGATGAGAGTGCTCCTGACAAAGGAATAAGCGGGGATTACACCAATTTCGAGCGATGTCAAGTCGGAAGAAATCGACCGGGCCTTCAACACGGTAAATACTGAAACTTGCGCCAAATTTGAAACTACGTCTAATTTTTTGCGTGTAATCTGATGTGGATTACATGAATGGTCTGAATAATCAGTTTAATTTCTCTCCCAAAATAATTTTTGTCTCGGCAACTATCCTTTGATTTGATTAACTGTATATTTTGCAAGCTAGAAAGTTCGCAATTGAGATTTTTAACTATATATGTAATTCAGTTTCTTTTGGTCCAACAGCGGTTCATACCATCACCCGTCGATCGACAGTTCGGTGAAACCTTTACATGACTACCAGCAACTTTTGATATCTGCAATCGGCGTTAACTGTATAATTTCGCAAGCAGCTCCGAAGTTAACAAAGCGTTCTGATAAAACTGCAGCGAGTACAACTTCTACGGGCCTTGCCGATTTCAGCATGCTTTTATTTGTTACTGGCGTGTACATAAGGATGATGCACTCTACCATGAGCAAGTTTCTTGGCTTGGAGACTTACATCACCGCTGCTTCCCTAGTGATGGCAGATTATGCAGTCCTACTTCTGATCAACACTAGATATATCGGAGTATTCATCATTCCAGTGATCCTGCTTGTCTTCATCGCAGCACTCTGCACCAAATTGTGGGACAAGTCTAGTCCTTACATTCAGCAGGATTACAGAATCAGCAGAGTTTCCTTACTACATGTCCCCAACACTGAGTGGCTTCTGAAGTTGGCAACGCTGCCGTGCTGGTTGCAGCTTTTGTCCAGCACAATACTGAATCCAGATAATGAACAGCAAGACGATACCATTGTGTTCTCGCAGTTCCTCCTGTTCTTCAGCTCCGCACTCGGTGCGCTTGCAGTGATGGTTGCCAAATTACCCGCAGGTGTCAGCCCCGGTGCAGCTCAGGTTCTTCCAGTCCTGCAAAAGACCTGCATTGTTCTGCTGCTGATAACAGTTCACACGATGGCTGCAGAATGGATTGGGGAAGATGTCATAGTAGCCTGCATTCCAGGACTCGTTGCAGTGCTCGTGTGGTTCACCGTACATTTCGACCATGACGCGAGGAATGCAACTGCAGTTAGCATCGACAATGTGTTGTCTTACAGATCGCAAGCCGTCACCATTCTCAGCTCTACCGTAGGGCTTCTCGCATACCTGACTGGCTCATATGCTGCGTACGAGAGGGAACTTGTGAAATCCCGGTGCAGGTGGAGCTTGTGCATGGTTAGCTCCTCCTCTGCTCTTTCACACGTCAACTTGTGGATGCTTCAGCACTGGCCGGAAAGAACATTTCACTTGGAAGAGCTGCTAAAGCTGTTCAGGTTTTGCAGGAAAATTTGCTTGAGCGCAACACTTGTGCTGGCTTTGATGTCGATCGGTGGATGGGTTCGTAATCTAATAGCCGGTTCCATAGCTATTGTTTCAGCGTTGGTGGGGTTTGCGCTTTTCGTAACCATGGGTCGTAAGCCTGAGCCTCGTAATGTTTGTAGGACTAGGAAGAACGCTGCCAGCAGGTTTGGGCAGGACGATCAAAATCCATCCTCGCAAAGATTTTCGAAAGAATCTCGGCCGTCCGGGGGTTTTTTTGCACCTGCCTTTGAGTCTTTTGGAGACTTTATTGACAGGAAATTGGGAATTGCAAATTAAGTCAACTAGTTGCCAACCTGGCCTGTGCATTGTATTGGCTATTATTATGTAAATATTTGAAAGGAATATTATTCGTACGTATTGTTGAAAATATTTCTTAATTTTTATTTTTGCTTCAAATGTATTTTACATGACTGCCAATCGAACAATTGGTTTTTTAATGACACAAACTATTTAATTATGTTGAGAATTTAAAAACTCTATCAGTTATCATTATTAATGTAATAAATCATAAAAATGTAGCACTCGGAACATTGCATATAATTTACAATATAATGACTACTTCAGTTCCAAATTGCAAAAAAATGTTTTCCACATTTGTATCATTGGTGTATGCAAATTTCTCTCTTTCATGGATTAACATCTCAATCTAAAATTTATAGACAGGTGATGGCATGTTGAATCCTAATCGGTCTAGTTTCAGATGATGGACCTGTTCACTTTGATGCCAAAAAAAACATTACCAAATTTTGGCATAGTTGCCGAAATTTTGGCAACTTGCCAAAATTTTGGTAGGATTTCTTATATAGTTACCAAAATTTAGCAGCAAACTAAATGTAGCCACTTTTTTTTTGTAACTTTACCAAAATTTGATAAGGTTGAAAATGGCATCAAAGTGAACAGGCCTGATGTCATGTTGAGTCAAGATAATATTTTGCTATATATTATCTATGTGAGTACCAAAATATATGAGTGTTGCAACGGGTTTAAGCAATTCTAATTACTAGATGATGTCCCGCGCTTTATTGCCAGATATATGTTAGTTATTGAAGAAATGATGAAATGATTTGAATTGAAATATTATAAAAATGATTTGTACATGATGATTTAGCATATGTATGTTTAGTTTTAGAATGAAATAAATTATAGATATAATTACTGTATGTTTGCATGTTGAGCTTTATATGCTTAATGGGTTGATGTGACATGCTTGCATGTAGGTTTTATGAGTGCTAATAAATACTATTCTTGCACGTTGAGTATTGTGTGATTAATAGGTTGACGTGGTATGCTTGCATATAAGTTTTATGAGTGCTAATAAATACTGTACTTGCATGTTGAGTTTTATATATTTATAGTGGGCATTAACTTTATAGAAATAAGTGATATGTAATACTTTGTAGTGCCCATCAACAGATAAACAGTCAAATACAATGATAGATATATTTATAACTTGCATATCCAGGGGTGAACAAATAATGTTCTAAATTCTTTGAATGCAAGTAATTTTGTGTACATCTTACTTAATACTATGAAAAGGAATATTTTAACCTAGGTAAGAACTAAGAACCAAAATACATAATTAACCCAATAAACAGAAAAGGGGCTGCCTATATACTATCACAATGCATCCACCTTATTGTCTACCTCTCCCTCTTCTGGCTTAGATTGACGCGCTTGAGCAGATTTGTGCAGCCACCGTGCCGTCGCCATGCTCCTCTCGTCTTCCCTCGCCACCACTGCCCCCACCTTGTAATTACTCTTGTTACCCTCGGCCCCACCTCCGACCATGCCCACAGCTGGATCCATCCCTGTGGCTTAAGCACCGCCTCGCCGCCCAAGACCATTCATCTAAGGCTGAGAGAAAACCCCCTCATGCTGGTAGGTTTTATCCATTTTGTAATGGAAATGTACAATGTCTCTCCCAAATATAAATTGGCTGCAACCACTGTGTGCAAATATCCCACTGTAATTGCTGGGAATTCCGAACTTTATGTGCACCGCACTTCTGAGGTTGGTTTAGACTCAGGAACTGTAATGCACGAAACTTATGAATTGTTCAAAGATGGCAGGCATCCTAAACAAGCTACTACCTCCATCCAAAAAAATTGGACACTCTACCGCCGGGCTGATGTCCTGAAATTTCGTTTAGATATTTAATCAGCGAAAGTGGGGCTCACATGTTTCTAATTTTTTTGGGTCGATAGATTCCTCACATAAGAGCATCACCAACAGATACCTATAATTTCCTCTAGAAAAGTTGTTTTTCGGTTTCTTAAATTGAAAATAGGAAGTAGAAAAATTGATCTCTATAAGAGAACACCTAAATTTAATTCCAAAAACTAGAAGTAGACCTTTCTGTTAAACTAGAAGACACCACCGCCGCTGGATGGCGTGGGCATGCAAAATCACCGAGCGTGAACATTTTGCCTCTCGTGCGGGAAAGGGAGTAGAGGCGCGGGAGCAACAGATTGGGGGTGGGAGAGGCGAGACGACGCTCCTCCTCATATTGACCGAGCGAGTTTTCGGGATAAGGGGATTCCAAAAATTGGGCACGAGATTAGGGGATCTGTTGGAGCTGTTTTTTTTTTGACGAAATCCCTCAAAATTAGTTTTGGGAATAAAATAGGGGAACTGTTAAAGATGCTCTAACACCGCAAAAACCTTATCCTCACGTGTTATCTCGCCTACTCCATCGCTCCTCACCCCGATCCCAATCCTTCTCCACGCCTCTCCTCTCCACTACCAGCATTGACAATGGCGAGGCGGGCACGCGTTGAGTCGCCAGTTGTCGCGGCGCTCGTTGATTCGCCGGCCGTAGTGGCTGTGGAGGCCATACGTGAGAGGCGTGCGCCGATTCACCGGTGGTGGGCACGCGCCGAGTCGCCGGTCGTCATGGCTCCGGAGGTTGTGGGCATGCGCTGATTCGCCTGTTGTCGCGTGGCGGGCACAATTGGCGTCTGTAGTGGCAGTGGAGGTCATGGCACGACTGACCAGAAGGGCCGGACGAATGCGAAGTGTGGCGGAAGCAGACCTCCACTCAGCGTAGGCGAGACGAGGAAGGCGAGGAGGACGCAGGCGGCATGGTGATGGGGGCTCAGCGTCGAATCAAATCCTGGGGACAATTTGGTCATTTTACCTTGAAGCTAATTTTGGCTGTCAACCTTAAGACGCCAATTTTTTTTGGACGGAGGAAGTAGTTATTTCATTTGATGAAAATTGTACAAATGTTGCAATATTTATTGAAGTAGTTTTCTTTTTCATCTGCAATTATCTTCGAACTATTCTGGTAGTTCTGAACTTCTGATGGCCAAATTTTCTAATCGTCATTATAGGGGGGGCCTAATGGGTGATCGATCGCCAGGCGATCGCCCAAGCGATCAGCCCCCCTCCCCTATACTCCATACACTCCTCCCTCCTCTCCCCTCTCCCTCCTCCCTTTCTTCTCTTCCTACTACAGTACACCACACAATTTTTTTTAAAAAAACAAAAAGTTAGAAAAATTTATGTATAAAAATACTATATATAAAAAATTTGAATTCAAATTAAAATTTGAATCGGGTATGTAAACTTTAGACTTATAAACTTTAGGTGTATAAACTTTAGATGTATAGAAATACTATATATAGATAATATTTGAATTCAAATTCAAATTTAAATTTGAATCGGCTATGTAAACTTTTGACTTATAAACATTAGGTCTATAAACTTTAGATGCATAAAAATACTATATATAAAAAATATTTGAATTCAAATTTAAATTTGAATCAGATATAATTTAAATTCAAATTTGAATCGGGTATGTAAATTTTTGACTTATAAACTTTGGGTCTATAAACTTTAGGTGTGTAAACTTTAGATGTATAGAAATACTATATATAAAAAAATTGAATTCAAATTCAAATTTGAATCGGATATAAAAACTTTTGACTTATAAACTTTTGGTCTCTAAACTTTAGATGTGTAAACTTAAGGTGTATAAACTTTAGATGTGTAAACTTAAGGTGTATATAAACTTTAGGTGCATAAATTTACTAAAATAGGAAAGTAATGCGGTGCCAAAAAAGGAAACTAGGTGGAGGGAGGGAGGGGAGGGGGATTGATCGCTACCCCCCGTCCCAGGCGATCAATCGCCGATTAGGATTTCCGATCGTTATACGCTATAGTATACTATGAATCTTAGGTTATTTATAAGGGCGTGACTAAACAGCTACCGGTCACTGGTTTGTCTTATCCAGCTACCACTCCATCCAGTATAAATCCCCCTTCAACTTAAAAGATACAATAGAGTGTGTTTTTTTAACCTTTTTAATAACTTATATCTTTTAAATCACATATTGTTTTTAAGATCTATTTGCATCATTGTACTCCACTCAAAATATGTGACAAAACAAGATCCATATTGAATATATTCAAATATTTTATTAATTGAAAAGTAAATTATTACATGTTATGAAGTAACTTCCATGTTATCAGGAAGTAATTTTTACATCTTATACATGATTAATTGTCATTAGTTACTCCATCAATGTTTTTTACAATCCATCAAAGGTTTTTGTCGATGGGGGATACCCATAGACCGAATATAGAGGGTATTGGGGTCCGTTGGTACGAGGATCTACGTAATACGACATCAAGCAAACAGAAGACAAGGATTATACTATACTGGTTCAGGCCCCTTGGAAGGTAATAGCACTAATCCAGTTGGTACGGGATTATATGATGGAAACCATAGGGTACAAAGGGAATAACAGAACTCGATGATACCGACAAGAGCGTAGTCAAGTTGGTCTGACTAGATCTCCCAGCGACTTGGCTCCTACGCGCTCCGGCTCTGTAGAGTGTGGGGGGTGTGTTGGCAGTAATATTCGATGTCTTAGGTCCTGCCCAGGGGGTCCCTTATATACCGCGGGTCAGTTGATCTCCAAGTAGGACTCGGAGATATAGGACCCCTCACGATATGGTAAAGACTCAGTCTCGTCCGAGTAGGACTCCTCCCATCCGTATATTTTGTTTCTATCACGTGACAGATTTCCTTATCGTATACGGAAACTATCCGTATACGCGTGGGTATGCCGTATCGGTACCCACTGTACATCCAAGGATAGAGGGTATACCTTATCCGTAACCCAAACAGTAGCCCCCGACTTCTGCTTAAATGAGCTCATGTTATCAATCGCGACTTCTGATGTCGGAATTGTTGTCGTTATCATCTGGTCGATCCCGGTGTGAAAACCGTAGAGACAAAGAGTCATCGACAACGCCGCGCGAAGTTCAACGGTCATGAGCGAATTTAAATTGAAGTCTGAAAAACCACCGTCCGCAACGTACCCATAATTTTCTGGCAGCAATCTCTCTCCTTTCCTTGGAAT